GGCCCAGTATGGCCCAGCATGGCCAGCACGGACCAGTGCGGCAGCTACAGCACAGGGCGGTCCCGTGCAGCCCAGTATGGCCCAGGGCAGCTTAGCACAGCCCAGTACAGTCCAGTATGGCCAATACAGACCTGTGTGGCTGGTACAGCACAGGGCGCACCAGTACAGCACAGTGTGGCCAGTGCAGCTCAGTACAGTCCAGTGCAACTCAGTACAGCCCAGTGCAGCCAGTACAGCCCAGTACAGCCCAGCATGACCAGCATGGCCAGTGTAGCYGGCACTGCAGCTGGTATGACCCAGTACACATAAGTGCAGCTCCTCACAGTCCATACACACCAGTGCAGCCCAGTACGGCCCAGTGCAGCTCCACACAACCCCCTATGACGCAGTACAGCCCAGTACAGCTCCATACAACCCTCTATGACCCAGTGCAGCCCAGTATAGCCCAGTACAGCTCCATACAACCCTCTATGACCCAGTGCAGCCCAGTATGGCCCAGTGCAGCTCCATGCAACCCCCTATGACCCAGCGCAGCCCATTGGGGCCATGGGGGCGGTGATGCAGCCTGACCCAGTATCACCCAGTAGAGCCCATCACAACCCAACAGGGAGCCGGGGGGGCCATGGGGCAGCACCGCCATGCCCCAACACATGGGATCTCCGGGGCTCACAGTGGAGCCTCGGGAATTGCCTCGGGAATTGCGCTGCTAATCTGGGGACGCGCGGCTCCCCCCGGCCGCTTTCCCAGCGCATTGCAAAGCTCCACGTCACGCTTGCCGCGGCCGGCGGCCTTTCCCAGGCCCCCGCGTGCCAGGGGAAAAATGTGAGCGCCGCTGCCTGCTCGTGCGTAGGAGAGCCCCAGCGCCGCGGAGCCTGGACCGTGTTTTTTCTCCTTCTGCCTCTTTTCTAACATCTGAACGCCGTGAACAAGGCGTCAAATTCCTTCCAGCCAGGACACAGCCAAACTCTYGTTCGCGATGGGGAGGGACGTAGCTTTTGTGAGGCCACGCTCGCTAGCGCAGACTCCGCTTGCGCTCTGCACCCTTCACTTCCCGCCTCGCCGGCCTTTCCAGCCCTTGGCTTCACCCTTCGCTTCCCGCCTTGCTGGCCTTCCCAGCCCTTGGCTTCACCCTTTGCTTCCCGCTTCGCCGGCCTTTCCAGCCTTGGCCGGGAGCGCTTCCCCACTGGCGCATTAGTGTTGCGTTAAGGCAACACTGTGGATCCTGGCTGCTGCTCCACGCAGCCCTGACAGCTCTCCTGGGTTATCCAGGCTTAAGGGCTTGCTGTTTTCCCCCCAAATATCACCTCTGGCAGCTGTTGTCTCGCATCTTCCYTAGCCCCTCGTGGCCCGGGAGCGTCAGCGCTGGCCATGACGCACCACTCGCCTATTCCTGTCTCCTCTGCAGCCTCCAGGCCTCCAGCTGGGGCCGATTTCCTCTCTTTCCATGACCCCTGGATAAGCCCTTCCCGAAGGCACCCCTGTCCCCACACACATTCCTCCATCGTGGCCCCCGTGGCAGCCCACACCGCGGCAGCCATGGGCGCGCGTGGGCGCTGGCCCGCGGCCCTCGGGGAGCCCCGGCGCTGCCGCCCGCCGTGCCCTTCCCCGGCCGCGTGTCGGCGCGGGCCGCTCCCRCCGCGCGCGCGGTGACTCAGCCATGTTTGCCGCCGCGCCATGGCAACCCTGCCGCCCGCGGGGCTCCCATTGCCTCACGCCGAGGGCACGCGAGGGCGGGCGGCYGTCTCGAGTGCCGCAGGGCTGCCCGGCGCCGCCGGGGCTGCCGCTCACCACCTTTCCCACCGCTGCTCTCCTCCTGTCAGCTCATCCRAGGCAGCCAGCGGGAAACGCCGCGGGGCAGAGAGCGGGGCCGCCATAGCAGCACAGCTGAGCTGCGCGGACGCAGGAGATGTCAACTCCYGACATGGAGAGCTCTCTGCTCTCCACCACCGAATCCCAGCCACCAAACCCAGACTGTCACCACCAAATCCCAACCACCACAGGGCACAGTGCTGCCAGCCGGGAGCTCTGCCAGCGTCAYCCAGCGCCACCGCGGCATGCGCGCCCCAGGGCAGGCTCCTCCGCATGCRGCACATGAGGCTGCAATAGCCTGCGGGGCTGAATCCCGCTCCTGAAGCGGGGCCTGTGCTTGGGGTGTGACAAACGAGTTGGGAAGGATTTAAAACAAACACACGCGCTCTCACTGCCATCTCCTCGCCCGTCTCGGTTCCCAGGAGTGTCTCCTTTCCCTTCTGCTTGACGCTGCTCTCCGCGCCCAGCTGCCCTCCTTGGCACTAACTCAATATTTGCTGGGGATTTCATTACCCAGCACAATAAAGATTCTCCATCACCTCTGAGAAGCTGCTCTCGCCAGCAGGACAGGGTTTCGCGGGGCAGGGCTGGGACATCCCRCCTGGAGACAGGAGGTGCAGTCCCTGTTATCACGGCCTAGATAAGCAGGCAGATAAGCAGCAAGCGTCAGGAGATGGGTGGACGCCTTCTGGCTGCTCTCCCCACAAGATATCAGGGTTCCTTGAGCTTAAAAATTAGCCTTTATAAAGAAAAAAAAAAAAAAGAAAGAAAAAAAGAAGAGATAAAATAAATGGTGGTGAGCTGGGTACCACCCTGTTACGGACCCACTTCCCAGGATGGAGCATCCGCCACCCGCTTCCTTCCCGCAGGTGCTGCCCAGAGCCCGTGTGAGCAGCTCGAGGGTCCCTCCCCTCCGCCCTCCAGAGCCAGGGGTTCTGCGGCACTCGGGTCCCTGACCCCCTGCTGCTTCCCGCCCTCTGCTCCAAGCTGTGACGTCCCTGCCCGGCTCTGCGGGCTCTCCCCGCCCGGCTGCCAGGGGAGCAGGTGACCTGGTTTGTTTTTGCTGTCGCGCCCATGAAGTGTTTATAGCAACCGGGCTCCGGCAAGCCGCAAGCTTCGCTCATCTCAGCCCAGCTTCCGAATAGCGGCAGAGGAAGGGCAGCCCCTTCCTCCCTGGTTAGCAACCGCCGCAAAACAGGGACCTGCAGTGGCAGCAATATCCCCGCAGGTTTCACCGCCGAGCCCTGCATCCTGCTCCCCAGGAAGAGCTGGGATTGCCCATGGGTGTCCATCTCCTGGGAGCACCGGGAGCCCCTGGCTCTGGGAGCGGCGCTGCTGCCAGCCTGTGCTCTGCTCCACGGGGAATTACTGCTCGGCGAGGATGAGCCCATGTCTGCAGACAGCCCGGCCGCCCAGCTCACGTCCCCCCGGGTAGCGGCGCGCAGAGGAGAGGCCCTGGCTCCGGCCCGTTTCCCATCCCGATGCGACGCAGCTGTTCCTCCTTCCTCTCCAAAGAGCGGAGCAAGCCCTAAATCAATTCAGCATGTGTTTTCAGTGAGCGAGGCTCTGTCCGCATGTGACCCGAGGCTGAACTGTCCGAGCTCGCAGCACGAGGAGGCGGGAGCCTCCCTGCTGTAAGAGCCCCAGGGCATTGCCTGTGTGTGCAGAGCAGAGAGCACAGCAAGCCCTGTGGGGAGGAGGAGGAGAAGGAGGAGAAAGAGAAGGAAGAGGAGAAGGAGTCTGAGGAAGCTTGTTGTAGGGTGCAGAGGGAACTGAAACCCAAAGGCTCATGCCTGGAGGTGTCGCCCATTTGCAGCCGCCCGAAGCAGCTGCAAGGCGGCTGCAGCTCAGGCGCGTTTCCTGCGACTGCACACACCACACACAGCCCCGCTCCCGCGCGTCCCGGGGTGCTGAGCACCAGGAGGGCCGTCCTGAGCATCACAAACACATAGCAAAGCCCGAGGCCCTGGCTCCAGCCTGCCACTCAATGTCTCGTCCTGTCGTGTTTCCTCCACCTTTTTCACATGGCCAACACACTCCTTCCAAGGCCCCATCCCCTTGTACCAGGCCCACCTCATTCCCCCCATGGAAGCAAATTGCGYTTTTCTCCCCAAAGCCAAGAGGGCTGTGGCCACGGTGGGCCAGGTCCCCTCAAGGCAAACAGGGACACAGCAGCTTGCTCATCAGGGTCAGACCTGCCTTGTTAGGCAGCAATGGATCAYATACGAGCAAACGAGTCCGTGAACAGTCATTTGAGACCCGGGGGGGACACTGGTGAGCGCGGAAGGAGGATGCGGCAGGGCCTGAAGCGGGGGCGGCTGCAGCTTCCTTGCCCGGCTGATAGGGGCTCTGAGGATGCTCTGACAGAGGCCCCGGGCGCTGCCACTGCTCCCAAAAGTRCTTTTAGCTACAGCTGGGTTGTCCCAGCCAGCATCTGGCTTTGCCAAGATGTTATCTGGCTCCCTGTGAGTCCCCGCTGCTCTTGGCTCTTGCCTGTGCAATTATCTGCTCCTGGAAAGCTGCTCTGAAGAGGTCTGGTTTGGAGCCTTGTTTGGGAGAACCAGGAGACCAATTCACAGATCCCTTTCCCAGCTGAACGCACTTACGCAAGCCCAGAGGATGATGAGGCTCATACTTACTCTTATTTTTAACATCAAGGGCAAGTTATCTCCCTGGCACGCTCGAGGCCCCGGGGACCGCGCTGCTCGCTTTGAAGCCCAGTGTGCAGAGCGGAGCCAAGTCCCCCGTGCCCAGAGCAGCCCGGGGCCGGCTGTGCCCGCTGGACGCCAGGGCAGACAGCAGAGCCCGTGGCGCCTGTGTTTTGTGGAGAAACAGTGGCACGGGGCCCTTGCCAGGACACAGGGACAGAAACAGCCCCGCTTTGCCTTTACACGGCCTCGGGCATGCRAAGGGCTAAGTGGGTGGCTCGGGCTGGTTGAATTCGCCAGGCTCGAGCACAATTAACGGGCGCTGGGACTGTTGCCGTCGTGGGCGGCTTTGAGATGTTTGTCAGATCAGGCTGCCCACGGCGCCAAAGATTTTGGCGCAAGTCGGGCGCCGCCGATCCCGAGCGCCCGAGGCCACATCCCGCTGGCGCCCATGGCCCGGCGCATCGCGGAGTGGTTTCTGGAGAAGTGCATGGATAAACCATGGAGAGGGSACCCGGAGCGGGTTGTGAAATACATGAGGATACGTAACCGGTGCTGCTGAGCTGGGTACCACCCTGCTGCAGAGCCGCCTCCCAGGACAGAGCATCTGCCACCCGTGTCCTTCCCACAGGTCCTGCCCAGAGCCCCGGGACCCCGTCACAAGGAGCACGGCCACCACACGGGGAAGCGTCTTGGAGTTTATTGCAGCTCGGGAATACAGGCGCAGGTCCCGCCGCGGGAGCCGGCTGCCAGAAGCGGGGCTGGGTGGTGGCTGGATGGGTGCGGGCTCCTCTCCTCAAGGCCTGGGGTGACACCAGCCAAACTCCCTACCCAAYGACGTGTCCGGGCTCCGCCGCAGCTCTCCGGATGGAGGAGCGGAGCCCCTCTCCGCACCAGCTCCATCCCTAGGTAATTTAGTGCTTTTAAGGTGCTAGTCTGCTACAGGGTGAATTGAAAGGCCTGCCCACTGCGGTGGGTTCGCGCTGTCCTCGGGCTGCACCGGGAGCGCCGGCCGTCGCACCTGGAGAGGGACAAGGAGAGGTGAAGCCAGGCCGGGACAAGGGCCCCGTCTGTGCCCGCGGGCCTCAAAGCCAAAGCCTTTGGGTCCCTGCTGGAGCCCAGCGGGGCCGGGACGGGATCTCCAGAGGGAGGCACCAACCTGGGGTTTACTTGAACGTGTGGCTCTCGGCTCCCCCCCGTCCAAAGCCTGCAAGAGAGGCAGGGGCGCTGAGMGGCGCGCGCCAACGCCGACGCCGCGGCCGCCCGCGAAGCCACTCACCTTTGGGCCCGAACAGGGCGGCGTAGCAGGGGTGGTTGCAGTAGGGCTTGCCGTCGTGCTGCGGGGCACAGAGAGAGCGTGAGCACCGGTGGCGCCCGGCCCCGCGCCGAGCGGCGCCGCAGCCRCAGCCGCAGCCGCAGCCTCACCTCCGCGTGGCCGCCCGACGTCAGCGTCTTGTTGCATTTCTCGCAGCGCAGGCAGGGCCGGTGCCAGTCCTTGCCCAGMGAAGTCACCTTCTCGGCTGCCGCRGGGGAGAGGCGCTAGCCCTGCAGCYTGCACCCAGCGCGGCCACGGGACCCCGTGCCGGGACCCTCCCGGCGGGTCCCCAGCGCCTCCTCCAGCCCCCTTCGGGGACACCCTCCGCCCAGAAGCACCCCAGGGAGGGCACAGGKGACCTGCAGCGGGGCTTGCTTGGCCCTATCTCTACACACAGAACAAGGTGCAGGCTGCTCGCCTGCCACCTCTGAACCCTCCTTAACTTCTGCCCCACTGAAGCCGATTTCATAAGAGCCCCGGGAGCTGAGGCACGTTCGGCCCCGGCCACGGGCACCTCCTCCATCCCGGCAGCACCGCAGCCGCGGCGGCCAGGGGTGCCCGCAGGCCCCCGGCAGGGAGGGCAGGGTGGGAGGCAGCAAGCAGGGCAGGGAGCGGGGCACGCCCGGGGCAGGGCCACAACACGGCAGCGAAAGCAGAAGTCGCAGCTGCACTCGGGCTCGCAGTTCCTGCGTCTCTAGGAAGTCAGAGGGCAGCAACGTGCGAGTGGCCCCAGTGCAGCCCCCGGGCTCTGCTGCCTCGGCGGGATTTGGGCCGCTGGGCTCAGCRTGCACTGCTGGCGGGACAAGCGACTCAAGCCCCCGGAGCAGCCTCACGGCAAGAGAGCGGCCCCACAGCACCCAGCCGGGCAGAAACACGGGGACTCCGTGGGGAGCGACCCATGGGGAGCGTGCCCAACAAGCTGGCCGCATCGGGCCAGGCCACCTGCGATACCAGGCAAAACAACACGGCCCTGGCACCAAATCGTGCGGGACAACACACGGGTGACCCCAAAGCCAGGAGCCCCCAGGAGCAGCGCTCACCTTTGGGGCAGCCCGTACCCACCCACCGATGTCCCCGAGAAGCGGGTCCTGCGGCGGTACCGCGGGGTACCCTGCGCACAGGGCGCCGGGGCAGAGGCTCAGCGTGTGCGGGTGCCTGCGGGGCAGCCCGGGGCGGCGGGCAGGGGGCCCCTTACCGAAGTAGACCTCCTTCTGGCAGCGCGGGCACTTGGGCATGGTGTCGGCTGCGGCGCGGCGCCTCTGCGGGGCTGCGCGCCGGGAGCGCCGGGGTCACTGCGCGCCCGGC